ATACATACACACAGTGAAGTCAAACTAAGATTGTATGGCCAACGCTGGTTGTGAGATTTCCTGTCTTTTAAGATCATCTTACATCTTTGTCTTAATTTTATATACCACTATGATGCATGTTATGTGTGTATAAGATTGCATATGTATGTTGAAAGGTATGCTTACATCCTGTATGCACATGGGATTCATCTAACCTAACCAGTCATCTAGACTTGCTCCAGTCAACAGAGATTTTATTCTAAAGTAGGTGCCCATGAGAGGTAGGGTGCCTATATCTCCATGTTGACTATTTGTTAGCTGTTTCCTCATGGGAAATGTTATTTAAGAACTAGATATTTTGCATCATGGCTTAAAAAATACTATGATATTTCACATTGTTAGTGACAACCAACATACTTTATTAATGGCAGGTGCAAAATACAACTACCCAATTTAACAGGTTAGGCAAGAAGAGAACCAGCTAGTCTGTGGATTTGATTTCCAAATTGTATTTTCTGACCAAACAATAAATGCGTAAGTAAAATCCAACTTTGATCTCAAAACTTGTTTTATTTTAAATTTCTACATTATCTTTCCCAGACCTTTTTTCCATCTGATACTTTTCCCTACCCAATTATTTGTTTAACAGCCTGCTCCATGTACTCTTAATCTGGACTGTAAACTCTGGCCTAAGGGCTCTTTTTTATGTCCTGTCTCAGTAACACCTAAAATCTGAGACACTTCTTGGGTTGGAATCTAAGCACTTCTGTAGAACAGGCAATAAATACTCATAATACCAGTATCATCATGGTTTCCAGTCAAGTAGAAATGAAGCACTATATACCAAAGATACATGGCTGAATCTAGGCACTGCATCCAGGAGGTCTAAGCAATACTGGTGAAATGCACTTTGTCTACAGTGAACCATGGCGTGCAGGCACCATGGGAATGGGAACAGAGACTGGGGAAGTTAAATCTGCTTTCAGCAGCACAGGGTTCAACCAACCACATGTAGTTGCTGTTCCATGCTAAGGGAAGAAGTAATGACCGTTCCTTACCAGCTGGAAGGGATAGTATTAGTCACTGGCCCCTTCCCACTCCAGCTCTGCTCTACTGTGGGAAGGAAGGATTTCTAGAGAGGGTTTTCGCACATTTCTGACTAGCCATACTGCTTGAGAAGCCTGTGTACAGCCCCCCCAAAAAATTTATGGGCAGTAGATAGCCACTCTCTCCTTTTCCCTATCCCCTCAATCACATGCAGAGTAGTTGGTGAATTATTCTCGATAAAAGCAAAGTACTTCACCTTTTGATGTTATTAAAGTAAAATCACTATACCAGAGATAAAGCAGTAGATATTACTTCAGTTAATGCCACAAGTCTAACAACAATTAGTGATACCAAGAAAAGAAAAATATAGCTGCATCAAAAGGGGCTGAGTCTGTTTGGACTAAGCATTACAATGAAAATTCATACTTGTAAGACAGAAGAGGGAGAGAGAAGGAGTGAGGATCTCCACTCCACCAGGATGGAAATGAGAATGATGTCCAGAGGATTTACTGAGGGAAGGAACAGCGTGGGGGATCGTTCTGTCTTCTAAGGCATACCTAGGAGCCCACTGCCACAATGGTGGGAGCGTACCCAAGGAGGAAGTGCGTCTTGGCCAGCCCTGGAAAAGCAATGACAGCATGTCTCAGAGACTATGTGAGCTGGGGCAAAATGAAGCCATGCATGGAGGTGATGAGCTGTAGGAGAAGCCAATGACGTTGCTTAAGACACTGGCATTCTTCTGAAGTCTGCTGAGACAGTTTATTGTTTCTGGGTTCTCATTCTTGGGTCAGTGTCTGACCTCAGTTTAGACTCTCTCAATCATATGGCTAGAAGGATAGCAGAGAAAGCCTCTTTCTATGTAAAGGCCGAAGAGGGAAGTCTGATTATTCCTGTAACACCTCCAAGCAGAGAAATGCCGGGAACCAGCATTCCTAGCACCTCAGTTGATTGCTGAGACAGACCACCCTGGAATGCTTGTGGTAAAGCATGAGAAATTCCACCCATGTGGGACGTTTACCCAGCTGGCTGCCAGAGTCTGTGACAGCTTTTAGGTATCTCGGAGCCAGCCCCTGAAGAGAGGGCTTCCTTGGCCTCAGTGTCCTGAGTTCCTCTAGAAGCCATCCAGTGCAGCTGAATGGCCCATTCTTGGCCCATTCCAGAATATTCTGAAACCAAGTATATTGTAATGCCTGATGTGAGCTGCTGGGCCCTGCGACAGATGCCAGGAAGAAATACAGTGACAAAAGAAGCCTTTTACTAGAAGTCCTCTGCAGAAGCTTCAGAAATTACTTCTAGTAGCATTTAACCCAAAAAGTCAAGACATATTCATTATCCTTTGTTCTGTGCTGGCTTCCAGGGTAAGACCAAGAGCTCATTGCCCATATAGCTCTGCTAAGTGACCTAGAGAAACAATACAGAGCAACCCACTTCTGGGAAATCACAATGAAGGAGAAGGAATACCCATGCTCTCTCAAGGTACTGCTTGGCTGGCTGTGGAATTCACCCTTGACCAACCAAGGTTTGCAACACTTTAGCCCGTGTCAGAACCAGTCCTCTGTGAGAGCTTTGGAAATTATTAAAGAAATTCTGGAAGACCTTTCTTGAGACATACGCCAGTGCTGAATACAAAGACCAATCTCCACTGTCACGGGATGTGCCACTGACGTCCTGGAGCATGGCTTAATAGCTTCTTTCAGAGGAGCAGAAGGGGAGAAAGGAAGGAGTCAACTAACAGTTAGGCATGAAGCACTTTTTTCCTCTCTTTAGCCCTCTCTCTTTCTCAGAGACTTGTTAGACACACACTTTCTGGTGCTCTCTTGTCTTCTCTAGCTTCAGTTCCAGCAGCCTCAGGTGTATTTCTGTGCATTTTCACATGGCAGATACGACACAAGACCTACACAAGATCCTCCTTTCTGGAGGGAGACCTGGAGACCACCAAACAGCACCAGCACCTTTGTTGAAGTGATGAATCCCAGCCGGTCTGTTTACTTTAGGGTGACTGGATCACTCTCTAAGTGCCAGTGACTGTCCCGACAAGGTTTCCATTGGCCACAGTGAAAACTTGTAGGCACCTACTTGTGGACTCCTAAATGTGTCTTGGCTTTGAACTGAATCCCAGCCAGGCTGTCAGCACAGGCCAGTGGAGGGGGGAGCGTAGCCAAAGGGGATGTGAGGAGAGGAAGCACAACTCCAGTTTTTGCTAGCACAGCTCATGCCGTTAGGGATTCCCCCTGGGATGGCGGGTAGGCAGCGCACAGTGCAGTCATCCAAGGGAATGAGAAGATACCACACAGCTGTTTTAATTCAAGTCACGTATGGGAGCACGGGGACAGTGGAGCATAGCCATCACAGAAGAAAATACAGGTTCATTCACTTTCCAGCCATCTGAGGAAACAAACAGGCCAAATGAGTTCAGATTCCATCCCGCGGACTTTGGGTACCCAGGAAACCGGGGCATGACATCATCCGGCGGAAAGGAGACAGCAACTCCTACAGCCTCTGTAATGCTGTAAGAAACCATCACTTCTCTACACAGTGGGGAAGCTTCTGTTTTTAGGGAAGAAATTGACCAGTCAGCCACTGCTTACAATGTGCAATTGTCCAAAAGTTGCAAAAAAATACATGGAAGTTGCAGCACTTCAAAAGCTAACTTTGAAAAAATTTCTTTCTCTAGATAATTTCCTCGTTTAATAGTGGTCGAAGATGAGGACCCGCACTGTGGATGCACAACTTAAAGGAGCAGGTGGGGCCACCAGTCAGTTTGATTTGCCAGCGTGGCGATCACCCCAGGCCGTACCCCTAAAGAGCTGTTTATTTAAAGTGGCGGTGGTTTTTCCTCTCCGCGTGCATATGCCAAACCGCAACTAAAAGCTTAGCATCTAACCACGGAAGGAAAGTCTTGAAAGCAATTCATGAATCTACACTAAGAACACTAGAGCTATTATTAAATCAACTCTTAAAGTAGCGTAACTCTTTTTAGGGCTGAAATAGCACTCTTTATTTTAAGCATCGTTGGAGAAAGAGGAGGAGAGAGGTTGAGCGGAACCCTTAAAACAAACATTTTCATGTGAAGGTTTGGAAACTCCTTTCAGCATACTAAATATTCACCGGGGCTTCCTGTATGCATTGGAGTTTGTCCTTTCGCTGCTGGCTGAATTTTCGTCTCGTTTGACCTCCAGCCGCCGGCTGAAAGCCCGTCTCCAACCCGGCAGCAGCTGTGCTGCGGTGAAGGACACCGGTGGGG